TGGTGGCAAAGATATTTGTTTATGTTTGTGTGATTTAGATGGTGGTAATGGGTCAAAGGTAGTATAAGTGTGGTTTATGTCATATCACACTAAAATAATTAGATTAAAGCTTAAAAAGACTTTTATAAAATATATAAATATATAAGACAATTTCAGTCTTAGAAAGTTCAACTTTAACTATTTTGATTTGAAAAAACATTTATAAAAGACAATTTCAGTCTTAGAATGTTCAATTTTACCTATTTTGTTTTGATTTTAAATATTCCAAGACATATTCAAGTATGGTATATGTGGGATTTTGGATCAAACTCTAGTATGATCGAAGTACATGCTGTAGTCGAAGCAGGGTATAGCATTTGTCGAACATGCTTGTTAAAATTAGGTTTTAGTGTTTAAACCCTAATTTGTTAAGTTAGCTTGTTTATTAAGTTAGCTTGTATAATGGGCCTTGTGGAAAAAGCCCATTAGTTAGTATGTTAGGTTTTATTATAAATAGCATACTAGTCTCTCATCATTGAATTCACAACAAATTGGTGCGGTGAGCGTGGAGAAGATGCCTTCAACAAAGTATGAGATTGAAAAGTTCACCGGAGTGAATGATTTCGGTCTATGGCGCTTGAAGATGAAAGCCCTACTGGTTCAGCAGGGTTGTTTGGAAGCGTTGAAGGGAGCGACGGCGATGGACGCTGCGTTAACAGAAAGAGAGAAGACGGCCATGATCGAGAAAGCACACAGTGCAATTTTGTTAAGCCTTGGTGATAAGGTTCTTCGACAGGTATCAAAGGAGACGATGGCATCAGGGTTATGGGTAAAACTTGAAAGTTTGTATATGACCAAATCTCTGGTAAATCGACTCTACCTGAAGCAAGCTTTGTATTCATTCAAGATGATTGAAGACAAATAGTTGGCTGAGCAGTTGGATATGTTCAACAAACTGATTCTTGATCTTGAAAACATTGATGTAAAGATTGATGATGAAGATCAAGCGCTGTTATTGTTGTGCGCTTTGCCCAGATCACATGCTCACTTCAAAGAAACCCTCTTGTATGGAAGAGAGTCCCTGACCTTTGAAGAAGTTCAATCAGCTTTGTACTCTAAGGACTTGAACGAACGTAAGGAGCATAAACCTTCGACGGTTGGTGAAGGGTTGGCTGTTAAAGGAAAATTCGACAAGAGGAAAGGTAAAAATCAGTCGAAGTCTTATAGTGGTGACGCATCTGGTATTAGATGCTACCACTGTAAGAAAGTAGGTCACACAAGAAAGGTGTGCCCTGAACGCCTGAAAGATCATGGAGGTAAGGATAATGGCAATGCAGCTATTGTCCAAGATGATTTCGAATCATCTGATGTTCTTGTGGTTTCAAGCAACAACTCGTCGAAGGAGTGGATTATGGATTCTGGATGCACTTGGCACATGACTCCAAACAAAGACTTGTTCGAGGAATTATGTGATCAAGATGGTGGATCTGTATTGCTGGGAAACAACAAAGCTTGCAAGATTGCAGGCGTTGGATCTGTGAGATTCAAGCTCCATGATGAGTCAATAAGATTGTTGACTGAAGTCAGGTATGTACCTGATTTGAAGAGAAATTTGATTTCTCTTGGTGAATTCGACAAGAAAGGATATGTGTTTCAAGGAGAGAAAAGTATCCTGAGAGTCATGAAAGGGTCGAAGGAAGTCTTGAGAGGCGTGAAGAAACAAGGCTTGTATACCCTTGAGGCTGAAGTTGTAAGTGGTTCGACAAATGTTGCATCCACGAAACCTTTGTCGAAGACAGAAATTTGGCACATGAGATTGGGCCATGTCAGTGAAAGGGGTCTGGTCGAATTAGGGAAACAAAATCTGCTTGGTGGAGATAAAGTCGAAAAGCTGAAGTTTTGTGAACCCTGTGTACTTGGAAAGTCCTGTAGAATGAAGTTCAACAAAGGCAAACAAAGAACACATGGATCCCTTGATTACATCCATGCTGATCTTTGGGGGCCTGCAAGGTGTCCATCACATTCAGGAGCAAAGTATTTTCTATCCATAGTAGATGACTATTCCAGAAAGTTATGGGTATTCATCCAGAAGACTAAGGATGAAACTTTTAAGAATTTCAAAAGTTGGAAGACTCTTGTCGAAAATCAAACTGGCAGAAAGGTAAAGAGGTTGAGAACCGACAATGGCCTTGAGTTTTGCAATGAGGCGTTCGACAGTTTTTGTGTTGCCTCTGGTATTGCAAGGCACAGAACTACCGCAGGTACTCCACAACAAAATGGTTTGGCTGAAAGGTTTAATCGAACTATTTTGGAGAGAGTTAGATGCATGTTGACTAGTGCGGGATTAAAGAAGGTGTTTTGGGCCGAGGCTGTTTCGACAGCAGCATATCTGATAAACAGATGTCCTTCGACAGCGTTAGATATGAAGACACCCGAAGAAGTGTGGTCGGGACATCCACCAGATCTCGACAAACTAAGAGTATTTGGCTGTGTAGCCTATGCTCACATTAGGCAAGACAAGGTCGAACCTAGAGCTCTGAAATGCATGTTTATGGGATACCCTGAAGGAGTGAAAGCTTATAGGCTATGGTGCCTAGAGCCAGGTCACAGGAGGTGTATCACCAGTCGAGATGTGGTTTTCAATGAAACTGAAATGGCTTTCAAGAAAACTGATGATGTTGACGAAGAGCTGGAACAGGTAGAGATTCCTGTTGAGGTGGAGCATGTTGATGCTGAAATGCGTATCCCAGATGAAGTCGAAGAAGAAACAGAAGATTCTGATGATATTGAGGAAACTATTGATGACTACCTATTATCGAGAGATAGGCAAAGAAGAGTTATAAAACCACCTCAGAGACTTGGATATGCAGATCTTGTAGCTTATGCCTTAATCTCTGCAAGTGAAGTTCTAGACGAAGAACCTAGAGATTATAAGGAAGTTATAAGGAGTCGAATGAAGACTGAATGGCTAAAGGCCATGCATGATGAGATGAAATCTCTTCATGATAATCACACTTGGGAACTAATCAAGAAACCTGTTGGGGCAAGGTTAGTCAGCTGTAAGTGGATTTTCAAAGTTAAGGAAGGAATTGAAGGAGTAATGTCGAAGAGGTACAAGGCAAGATTAGTCGCAAGGGGTTTCACTCAGAAAGAAGGTGTCGACTTCAATGATGTATTTTCCCCTGTTGTGAAGCACAGATCCATCCGAATGTTGCTTGCCATGGTGGCTCAGTTCGACCTTGAACTGGAACAAATGGATGTGAAGACTGCGTTCTTGTATGGTGACTTAGATGAAACAATCCTGATGAGGCAACCTGAAGGGTATGTCGAAAAAGGGGAAAGAAGATTATGTGTGCAAACTGAAGAAATCTTTATATGGACTTAAACAATCTCCTCGACAGTGGAATAAGAGATTCGACAAGTTCATGGAACACATAGGTTTCATTAGAAGTCAGTTCGACCATTGTGTTTACTCCAGATTTCGACCTGAAAATTCATTTGTTATTTTGTTGCTCTATGTTGATGATATCCTGATAGCAAGCAACAATGTCGAAGATGTAATGAGGGTGAAGGCTGAACTCAACAAGGAGTTTGACATGAAGGATCTGGGAGCTGCATCTAGGATCCTTGGAATTGACATTCAAAGAGATAGAAAGCAGTCGAAACTATGCTTATCTCAAGAGGCATACCTACGAAAGATTCTCGACAAGTTTGGTATGTCGAATTCAAAGCCTGTTGTGACTCCAACAAACCCTCAATTCAAGCTGAGCATTGATCAATGTCCCAGTACTGATGTTGAAAGAACCTATATGAACAGCATCCCATATGCTAATATAGTTGGTTCGTTGATGTATGCTATGGTCTGTACTAGACCCGACATAGCATATGCAGTAAGTCTTGTAAGCAGGTACATGGCGAATCCTGGAAAGGCTCACTGGCAAGCGTTAAAGTGGATTCTAAGGTACATAAATGGGTCTCTGAACAGAGTCTTAATTTATGGTGGAGCCTTGGGTGAAGATAGTAAAGCAGCTGTCGAAGGCTATGTTGACTCTGATTATGCAGGCTGTATGGATTCCAGAAAATCTATTTCTGGATATGTTTTCACTATGTTTGGTACAGCAATTAGTTGGAAAGCAACTCTTCAGAAGGTTGTTGCCCTATCAACTACTGAAGCAGAATATATTGCCCTAACTGAAGCTGTGAAAGAAGCATTGTGGCTTGAAGGTTTTGCAAAGGAACTGAAACTTCAAAGTCAAGGTATCACTGTTAAATGTGATAGTCAAAGTGCAATACACCTATCGAAGAACTCAACCTATCATGAGCGAACCAAGCACATAGATGTGAGGCTGCATTTCGTCAGAGGGGTAATCGAGCGTGGAGAAGTCCAAGTGCTGAAGGTCTCGACAGATCACAATGCCGCTGATATGATCACCAAAACATTGCCAAGTTGCAAGTTTTTCCACTGTATGCAGTTGATAAAGCTGCATGAAGAAAGCTAGTTAGTGTCTCTTGATGTTGTAGAGTTAGGTCCAAGGTGGAGATTTGTGGGATTTTGGATCAAACTCTAGTATGATCGAAGTACATGCTGTAGTCGAAGCAGGGTATAGCATTTGTCGAACATGCTTGTTAAAATTAGGTTTTAGTGTTTAAACCCTAATTTGTTAAGTTAGCTTGTTTATTAAGTTAGCTTGTATAATGGGCCTTGTGGAAAAAGCCCATTAGTTAGTATGTTAGGTTTTATTATAAATAGCATACTAGTCTCTCATCATTGAATTCACAACAGTATATAATCACACACTCACTCATTTTTAAAATAAATCCCATGTTCAATAATGTATGAACTGTGGCCATCCATCATCACACTACTCCATCACATAAAGCATATTACAAAGAAAATTTATCATGTATGAATCTATATCACAACCAAGAAATCAATAAATTCTAAATCTCACACCACCTAAACTCAAGAACCTCAATTTTATATATATTTTTTACATATGTATGTGTATATGTTCCCTTTTTCATCCCTTGAAACGAACTACAACGCAGGAAATATCATCTTTACTGTCTCGGTTCAACGCCTCAGTAGCTAGTTGTTTAGCAGCCTTTTGTGGATCCTTTATTCTTTTTGCGATATCGACGGCTTCTTGATTTGCCATTACCTGGACGAATCAATGGAAATTAAGGTACAAGTGTGAAGATTGAACTATCTAATAATAATAGTTAAAAAGAGAGATGAATCGAAGACCTTCCATAGACCATCACTAGCGAGAATCAAAAGCTCGGTATCTTGGTTAACATCAGCATACTGAATGTCAGGGTCAGATCGCAAGTGTGTTTTGAGGTTTTTGTCTCCAAATGCTCGAGAAACCGCAAGCTGCCCGTTCACTCTTGCAACATCTCCTGATATATATATATAACCCACAAATGAAAGAAGTTATTATAAAATTGAGCAGTGAGATAAATCAGCATTGAACTTGTAAAATCAACAGCAGATAGATTTCAGGGTTAATTGAAGAACCTGGCATGTTTGAGACAAAGCCACCTCTATTCTCAATGCTGCCACGTTCCGTATTAGGTTCATGATCAGTAGTCATCTGTACAGCTACCCCTTCCCTCGACAGAACTGCTCGTGAATCACCAACATTGGCGACCCAGAGTTTCTGATTATTTATGAGAATTGCAGTCACGGCAGTTGATCCTCCTCGCCCCAAATCAGGACTGTGAGAAAGAATTGCCTGATCTGTTGACTCGTAAGCTTTAGAAATGGACATGAATGGATCGTTCCAGAAATCGTCCTGGATAATCAATCACAACCATATATATATAATTAACAATAGGAATTAAAAAGATCACGCAATACCATACGTAATATCTTTAGTTTTGGTTGAACAACTCACTTCCTTCAAGATATTAGAAAAGAGATACTTTTGGAGATATGACGGTACACTGTCTCCGAGGTGTCCATCGTATATAGCAAAAAGTCCTAGCTCTTGTCCTTTGAAATGGACAAATTTCGCTACGTGATAGTCCTCCATTGGATGGTTGGCTTTCCCTTTAACAAGGCTAAATCCATATTTGACCGGCGACTGACTGCTTTTACCTTTGCCAGAGTTGCATGAAGAACGCCCTCCCACTGCCTATAAACATAGAAGAGTTTATAAGACTAAACACATCTAACAATCAACAATTATGTATATAAGAAAAAAATCTACATCAATAAAGAAAGGAAACCAAGCCACAGTTGGAAATGAAACGGAGATGCACATTTCCTACTAAAAAAAACCACATATTTCAATCTTATTAAGCCTCAAATTTAATAACACCAGAGAAACAGTAATAATCTCATCATCGCCATCCCACCATTCCCAGAGAGTTGTCTTGTAAATCGAGAATTAACCAAGACTTAGGGTCATATCTCTCGTTGATGCTGGAGTTCAAACACACCCTCACACTCAGGACTGGAGTGATGCAGGTGGAATAGCAGTTGTCTATACACCTTCACGCTCAAGGCTAGACATCTGGAGCATGGACAAATGTGGGTGAAATAACAGATATATCGTTCTGAAAACATCTAGAATACGCTCTGCTACCATATTAAAATTTAGCTTTAAGGTCCAACTTAACCTCATAAAACCACCTTGTAAGGCGAGGACTATTCAAGCATTATACATTACAAGGACTACCTAGGCCCCAACTCTGAATGATACGAGATTCTACACAGCTCTTATTTCCTCTCTTACCCTTCCACGAGGACTATATCATATTCAAAAAGCATGATTGTGGCAGTGGCTCCTGGATATACTAAATAAGCACATCCAAAACCAGAGTAAGAATATATGCACTGAAAGTAAGCCTTTGGAGTAATCCTATCCTAATAGCGTTATAGCATAGCAGAATTCGAACAAATAGAGAAATTCAAGAGTCCAACAAGAACTTATAAGAGATAGAAGAACTCGTTCCTGACCTGACTAACAGAGCTGAAGCAACAGAAATTATCCATATACTCCAACCCCACCTCAACTGTTCTGTTTATAATAATAACTCAGCATCAAACTAACCTTCAACAACAACAACAACAAAAAAAACTTCACGTTAAAGAAAAGTCCACAACTTTTCTGCAATAAAACACCGATCACCTAAAAAACAAAGGGTCCTTACCGATTAAAAACTAAAGCGAAGAAGATCTGGACGGTGTATGATTGAAGTAACAAAGACGATATGATGATGAAGAAGTGGTTCGGTTTAGTTTTGGTTGATAAAGAAGAGAGAAACGGAAATGGGTAAAAGAATGGTTTTGGGGTTATTGACTTTTGAAGTTTGGTTCCCGTGTTGATTTTATTAATGCTGAATGCTGACCTGACACAGTGTCCTTTGTTTGTTTCATTATTATTGTTGCACAGCTGTTTTTGTTTTCAATACTTTGTTTTCTTCATTCTTTCCTTCTTCTATTACATTGGTCGACTACTTTGAGATGTGTTTCACACCGCGTGTGCGGTGGGGTCCGCTCTATAGGGTCGGCGTACACCCACTCCTTTTTCATCCATATTTCTCCTATCAGCTTTCTCTCTATACTCTATGTTGACTTACTTGTTAAGAAATTGAACTGACAATCTTTTAGATCAATTACATTTTTTTCGACAAATTCAATCTCCAATAAAAATATATTTTATAAAGACAATTACATCAAAGTTAGAATTAATTATTGGATTTAACTACTACATATTTACACTATAATAGATTTTTTTTTTTTTTTGTTTTTAATATAGAATAAAAGTACAAGGAGCGTGACAACTTTTAGTAGATAAGTGTTGTCAAAGACTTTAAAATTTGCTGAGGGTTAAAGTTAGCTTACACGATGAAGTGAGAAGTTATGTATGAGTGATTTCTATATTAGAGATTAGATCCCCTCAGTATCAAGGTATTGATGTATTTATAACTTCATAGGAGCCTCTGGTCAAATGAACTAAGTCTCTTTAAGATATAGCGACCCTCGTGGGAGTGGATGGTTAACACCTAGAAATTCATGAGAGAGTTAAACCCCGCGACTTTCTAGGTATCGACTGTTGACCCAATTCACACTTCACCCACAAGCACGTTATGGGCAGAGGAATGGGAAGTTGGGCAACTGATCTAGGCAATGGGCGAACAAACCATATTGAGGGCGCTAGAACTAATACAAGAGCGACTCATGAAGGAAAAGACGCACACCTCTCGCCTTTGCCCTAATGTCTTCCACAATATTCCACTTTACAATCCCTCAAGCATGAGGACTCGTAGATGCTGAAGTGTTTTAACCTTTCACCTTCAAACCTTCCAAGGAGTCTAGTCGAGGTACATACCCTTAGGTGAGGATTGGTGGCAACTCTCTAGACGAGGTCCAATCGGGTCCTTCAGGCGGGATTGTACTAAGTCCCTCAAATGAGACTTTGTTGAGTCCCTCAGGATAGACTATGTTAAGTCCTCTCAAGTGAGACTGTGTTGAGTCCCTCTTACGAGACCTTATTGAGTCCCATCAGGAGAAACTTTGTTGAGTCCTCTCAAGCAAGATTTTGTTGAATTCCTTCAACAATAATTTGTTAAGTCCCTCAGGCGAGACTATGTTGAGCCCCTCTAGCGAAACTTTGTCGAGTCCTTCAGATAAGCCTATGTTGAGTCCCTCTGACGAGACTTTCTCGAGTCCCTCATAAGAGACTATACTGAGTCCCTCTAACAAGTGTTATACCCCAATTTTCCCCATAAGATTTCTCATCATCTCACTTTTATCAATACATCAAGATCACACATTAGGGTAGGTTCTCCCTTTTTTTCTTCATCGTATCTTTAAGTTTACTCTTGAGGGATCACCAAGCACATTGAATTGTGTATCTTGTACATGTGTTATATTAACTAACATAAATATATGTATACATGTTTTTTTTAATGTTCATATTGTAGGTGATCACAATTGCATTCATCTCATCATCTAACCTAGGGTTTTTAGGGGTAGTTCTCAGTCAAATGATGCTTCAAAGGACTATAAGAGCTCAATCTTAAAGGTTATGTCTAAGATATCAAAGATTTGTGGTTCAAGGAGCTCTCTCACTTTATTTAGGATAAGACCTCCTCAAAGTTAGTGGTGGCATTCATCAAGAAGATAAGTTCATATGTTTATTTCCATGCCTTCTTCAACAAGCTTCATTGGGAATTGAGCTCCATCTTTGAGTGTGCTTAAAGATAATATAATTTCAAGACCTATTATGATTCATCATGCCTTATTTTGCCAAGAAAGATCAAAATATTCAAGGTTGGCTCAACAAGTTTGACCTAATTGAGCAAATGCTTGATTCAGTGATCATAAGTGCATAACTCTCTCAATTTTCAACATTTAGAGTTGGTTCTTTTTTGTTGTGGATTCTTATCATCATAAAAAATAACCTCCCTTCACATGACAAGATCCAATTGTGCAAGAAAAATCATCAAAAATTGAAAGGGGTTTCAAGTCATTTTGACACTCTCTGAGCCAAGGTTTGTTGACTTCCAAGGACCATATCTTGATCATTTTTTGATATTTTTGAGTGAATCCAAAGCCATGATTCTCTTTAAAGGGTCTTTAACAAGCTATCTTCATAAACCTAAGGCTAATTTTCAATGGAAGATCACTAATGATTGAGAAATATTACAATTCTACTTGAAGAGCCTTTGAATTCTAGGCTTTGACTTCAAATGATCATAACTTCGTCATTTTTTATCTCCTTGAGCCTATTCTTTTTCCATAATAATTTTTGGGATGTCTACTACAACTTTGTTTTCATGTGCAAGACTTGAAGATGCTTGGAAAGTTGTTGAAGAATTAAAAAGATTATAGGTCTTTTGTGAATTTCCCCAAATTTGTTCATCATCTTACAAAGACCATAACTCTTTTAATTTTTATGATTTTTGAGTAATCTTAATTACACACTTCAATTCAAGAGGTCTACTTCATGTCATCTTCATATATCAAGATCAAATTTTGAGTGAAAAGTCATGTAATTTTGAAGAACATTATAGGTCATTTTGAAGTTCAACACTTAGATTTTTCTAAGTACAAAACATCTGTGTGTTTTTCACAAATTCAATTGGACATAAATTTTTGCTCAACCATCCAAATGATGTCTTTTTGGCATATTGTAAAGATTGTAAACTTGTCTTTCAAATTCTTCAAGAATCATCCCATAAAGGTCCCTAAGTAGTGAGCTATACATTATTGAAGTTGGCTCCATAGAATCTGTCCTTGCTTTAAGTCAGGATTTTTTACCACGAGTAAACTTGGATTATAGGTCAAATTACTCAAGGTTTAGTTGCTAAACATGTTTAACTAATTGTCCAGATGCGTTTTGATAAGAATTGCACTTGATATGAGGTCGTTTTGAGGCATTTCAAGTCACACGTTTGGCATGATCACAACTGGCTTGGTTTGTACGATTTTCTCACAATTCCTCTCGTTTCTCATCATCATTTAATTCCCTATAAATAGAGGATGATATCACACTCATTATACAAGCTTTAGAGAGCCAAAGAACCTCTGTTGAACTCCCTTCTAACCTCTCAACTTTGCAACATCGAATTTAGTTTTAAAGCATCTTTCAATCCATATTCTTTACTGATTATTCATCCTTGAACTTCCATGAAGCTAACAGAATAAGAACCAAGCCTTGAGGTGTCCTTAACCTCGCTAGCCAAGTCCAGTTTCAGAGCAAATTCATCTGACTTCGTTCAAGTAGTTTAAGGCACCAAATCTTCTAACTCAAATTACTGGAATGGTTTATGATGTTCACTGATGTTTGCTATTAATTCAATTTTGGAGAATCAATGCATTTGATGCTTCTGCTTTTTAATTTCAAAATTTTCAAAACTCTCTAGTTTTTTCCAAATCGAGTAAGTTGTGTTTTATATACATTTTTCGCGAGGGTAAGGTTAGGATCGTCTTGAAGAGGCGAATCCAATGATACCACTATGAGTTTATAATTTTTCCATTTGAAGAAATCACAAAAAGCTAACGCGCAGAAATCTGGAGGCTGAAGACGACCTACTTATCATTCTTCAACCAATGATAGTGTGACAATTGTTTTAATTTCATTGGCCCAATTTTAACTGATCGTGTGTGTTTCTCACTAAGATCCATATCAAGCACAACGCACTAAGTTCTTTGGATCTGTTTATTAACGCGTTTTAACTACGATCAGATGGTCCACATTATTTTGACATTATTTTTATTTTCTGATTTTTGATTTAATTGTTTTAAACTTCAAAAATTCATAAAAATTCATTTCAACTTCTAAAATGCTAAAAAAATCTCAAAAATATTGTTGATTTTTCTCTTTTTGATTTTTATTTTTTCACAATTTTATTTTATGATTTGGTATTTTTTATAATTTTTTCACTTTATTTGACTTGTTTTAATTGTTTAAAAATACATTTCTTGTTTTTTAAATTCTGGAAAAATTATGGAAGGATCCAATGACCTCTTGACAAATATTGCTGACCTCATTTTATTTTTATTCCTGATTTTACTATTTTGCATAATTTTTGGTTTATTTTTCTTATTTCTTTAAATGTAAAAAAATAGTTTCCGACTTCAACAAATTCTGAAAATTTTTGTCAACACTTGTTGACTCATGTTTGACTTCTGATATTTTTTTAAGAATTTTAATTTGGTGTTTTAACATACTTTGTGTATTTTACTAATTATTTCCCTTTTATTAATCATTTTAAATATTGTTTTATTAAATATTATTTTATTATTTTTGTTTGATCCTGATTTGGGTGTTATTTTGGGACAAGTTCCTCAACCTCATTGGACCTTGGGTGTTGATAGGTTAAAAAACCAAATCCACCAAAATGGATGAATGATGTTGATGATATTTGAAACCCTAATTTCATCGGATACATCCCCTCCCTCTTCATCTTATCCCTTTCTTACTTGTGATACATGTTGTTGGAGAATAATTCACATATCATTTCTCTAACATGTGGTACATAGATTGCTATTGACCGGCCTCAAAATAGGTGTGACTTCTACATAATTCCACTTACGATTGCTTAACATAGCGCTAAATCTGTCCCGATTCGAAAAATGACAATTTGTGGCCCAAAACTATATATGCAAGCTCAAGTATGTTTAATTTGAAACCTTTGATCTAATAACTTTGAGGTTCATTGTTAGGAGGATTTGATCTTATCAATCCTCTAATGAACTTCATGAACTTTAGTCCAAGTGAATCATTTGAACATCGTTGGTCATATGTGGTTGCCTTGAATACTTGAAATGAATGATATACTTGACAAAAAGAAAATGAGACTTGTTATTGAGAAGCTTTAATTTTATCAATCTTCTAATGAGTTTTCAAATGCAAGTTTCAAGATGGTCATTCAACTAACCTCTAACTTCTAATTCATTAACAATTGACTTTACTTTGTGCTTTTACTTTATGCCTTTATTTTATGTCTTTACTTATGTACCATTTATTTTAGCATTTACATTTCATGCTTTTTTCATCTTTGCTCATTTGATTACTTACCTTTATGT